CGAGCAGGGAGCCCGATGCGGGACTCGATCCCGGGACTCCAGGATCATGACCTGAGCCGAAGGCAGTCGCTTAACCAACTGAGCCACCCAGGCGCCCTATAATTAATGCTTTAAGAATGACCTCTCCTTGGGCCTCTGCTTCTCCTGAACCCAATATTCGTGACTGAGACATGACTCCATCTCCCCCCTAGCCCTTCTAGATCCTTCCTTCCGCTTTTGTCCTTTTGAATCTATCCTCCACTGAAGAGGTCAAAAATTGCCGTGGACAGGAAAGGAGTGGAGTTGATTCTGGGCCTGCTGCCATTCACATCTCAAGAGCTCTAGCTCCCGAAACCACCACATCATGAGCAGGTGACAGCAGCTGCAGGCTAAGATCCAGAGGCCTGTTCCTCCTGAAGCTTTTCAAAGTAGAGACATGTTTCCCAGCCACGATGTACTGAGGAAGCAAATCTCTCTAGACCACACTTGGCGAGACTGACTTTGATTTTTCTTGATAAATGTTTCTTTACTATCTTTGTTGAAATCCAGCCAGCCCAGATGGTACAGAATGCCTCACACAAAGCAGAAATAGCAACCTTCCCCCCCCTGGTGGAAGTGTGCTAAATGTACAGAAGAGAAGTGTCCTGATCCAGAGAACACCGCTCGCCTTGGATGTGAAGCAGGTGGGGGGTGAGGTCTGGCTGTTTCCATCAAAGGGTCCTCAGAGCAAACAAGGCCTTCTGCATGCTGCTGAAAGTTACCTAAGTTACCAGTGCTGAATCCATAAAAAGACAGCATTACTGTTAACTATTTTCCTAAGAACTGTTCTTCAAAAACTTTCCTACTCTTTCCCCCGACCCACCGCCCCGCAACCACCCAAAATACAACTATCTATTAGAAAAATCTGAATTGTGCTGCTCTAAAGCCTTTATCTCACACGTTGTGGGAGATAACCAGAAGCTTCTCTTTATCAACTCCTTTAAAAGGCACTTCCTTCAACATCATGAGTCCTCACTTGTCCTCCCTAGGTGTCCCCAGAACAGCTATTCAAAGTAATGCCCACTAATATTCAGTTATGTTTGAGGATGTCTGCAATGACAAAGCATAGGAAATACTGAGTGCCCCTCCACAGGGGAAGGGGTAACTAATCCGTGCATATTCATACTGCGAAATACTACGCACATGTTAATCACATGGACTATCTACACGAACATGGTGAACAAAATGGCTAGGTGAAGAGAGATGATGACAATACAAAGTTTCTTCCTTTTTTTTTTTTTTAAGAAAAATGTGCACACCAGTGGTTCGATTGTGGCAACGTAGATCCCCACTATGAATAAATCACAGCATTGGGTCAATGTACATTTCCTGATTCGGATCATTGTACCATGCCCGTGTAAGAGGATGTTTTCATTCCTGGGAAATACACACTCAGGTATTTACATTTTTTTTTTTCATTTTATTATGTTATGTTAATCACCATACATTACATCATTAGTTTTTGATGTAGTTTTCCATCACACTCAAGTATTTAGGGCAAATGGGAACCATACACTCCAACTTACTGTCAGATGGCTCAGAAAAAAAACATATACATTTATAAAAATATTTAATAGAGAGGGCGCCTGGGTGGCTCAGTTGGTTAAGCGACTGCCTTAGGCTCAGGTCATGATCCCGGAGTCCCGGGATCGAGTCCCACATCGGGCTCCCTGCTTGACGGGGAGTCTGCTTCTCCCTCTAACCCTACCCCCTCTTGCGCTCTCTCTCTCTCACTCTCTCTCTCTCTCTCAAATAAATAAATAAAATCTTCAGGAAAAAAAAATATTTAACAGAGAGAATGATAAACCAAATGGGGTAAAATATGAACAATTGGTAAATCAGGTAAAGAGGATGAGGATGTTCCCTGTACTAGCCATGCAACTTTTCTATAATTTTGAGATTATGTCAAAATAAATGGATTTGAAAAACAGGGCCCTCCAAATCTTCAAGAGAAAAGTACCATAAATTTTCTGCTGAGCATCAGATGCTGCATGGAAGTGTTGGATCACTTCCATACATTGTACACCAGAATCTAATGTTACACTTTATGTTAACTAACTAGAATTAAAATAAAAAACTTAAAAAAATAAAACAACAACAACAAATTTTCTACAATGTCATATATGAATTTAAATATATAGACAAGAACCTGGTTGGGGCGCCTGGGTGGCTCAGTCG